CCACTGAACCAAAGAATGCTATAGAAAATATTGAACCAAATTCAGTGTTTGTTTGTTTGTTTGTTTGTTTATGTGTGTATTTATTTATTTACAGAGTATTTCCTATTGAAGCAATCATTTGGGGCAAGGCATATTTGAGGGCTAATCATCTATTATTATTATTTATCTATATTTGTATTATTATTATTCATTTATAAACTAAATAAATAAATAAAATTATGCATTTAGCAGACGCTTTTATCCAAAGCGACTTACGGTGCATTCAGGCTATACATTTTTTATCAGTATATGTATGTATATATTTATGTATAATTTTTTTTTAATAATAATTGTAAATATGTAATTATCTTTTTTTATATTTTGTCATTTCAAAAATGCATAAAATATAAGTAATAAAATAATATAATAAAAAGTACAATTAATTACAATTGTGGACACCCATGCGCCATCAAATATTTGCTTAATTTTCCCAAAAGAAAAAGACTGTACATTTAAAATGCTATTATAAGTTTGATTTCATGTGGTAATTAAAGGTAAATTGTAATTTGTGCACCATTTTTGCACCAAATCAAAGTGCAAGAATAATCCTGAACACTTACTACGTCTGCCATTGGTTGACTAAACAGATAGAACCACCCCCAAACTCACACTATTGGTTCAGCCAGTGTTGTCTGGTAGCAGTGTTTGTTTTGATAGCACCACACTATTTACATTTACTTTCCAAGGGATTCAGCCTATTTTGTTTTAGCATTACCAGCCAGTCTGAAATGTTATTATCTGTGACGTTAAGTCAACATATTTGTCCTAGATTTGTTACAGCAGCTCTGGAGGCCAGTTCCATTTTTTTCCCCCTTCTCCAATCTGTTCACATTTCAAATTCACATTCATAACTTATAGCTGTTGTTCCAAGCATATTGCACCCCTGCTTGACTACACTATGAAGAATGAAGCCGTTCAAATCCGATTTATGAGAAACATCGTTCCGTCCTCAGTATTTGTGTTGTATAAGATGTCCATCTTTCTCCAGCACATTTCCTTCCCCTCCGCTTCCTCATTGTTAATATCTGACTGAGTATGCTCAGTACGCCGCTTTATCTCTGATATAGTTTGGTGTTGATGAGTAGAGAAGCTAATCACTGATTCGCTGTGAAACATCTGTCAAACGAAGCCAAAAACACACTTGTGTATTATAAAAAGTGTGGCTTTGCCTGCAGTTGAAGACTTGTAATGCTTACAGCAAATTTCAGAGATTAAACTGGATTAGCAGTTCCTTACGTAATATTCCGCATTCATAATTTTTTTTTTAGGATTTGACTAGCATGAGCGGGATTGGTTTGGTGGACGGCCAGATCACAAAACTTTCACAATTGGTTTAAAGAGCATCTCCGGAGGCTGCTTAGCTTGCTAGCTTCTCGCTACGCTTTAAAGGGTTAATTCACCCAAAAATGAAAATTAGCCCATAAATGACGCACCCTCAAGTCATCCAAGGTGTATACGACTTTCTTCTTTCAGATGAATCCAGTCGGAGTTATATCAAAAAATTGTCTTTGATCTTTCAAGCTGTTTAATGGCACTCTGCGGGTGTTGCATGCATCCGTCCAAAAGAAGTTAAATAAAATGCACCCATCCATAAAAAAAGTGTCTCACACTGCTGGGTGAACAAAGGCCTCCTGTAGCGAATCGATGCGTTTTCCATCTGACGCGGAGAGTCGCAGCTCGCGTTCAAGCACCGCACGACCCCTCCCAGTCGCCCTGCCGCCTTCTCGCACACCCTACTTTTCTTCATGGCACGCATATTTTTGGGGGGGTTACTTAGTTTTCTCTCCGGCTGCTGTCTCGTGCCATTAGCTTCTTTTGGGGAGTTCTCTGGGTTCGGGTTTTAACCCGAGCTCAGAGCCCTCCCTCTGGACAGCACGCCAAATATGCTACTAATTGCTTAATCACATTTGTTAGTGTGAACTCGTGAATTAGTGACCATTGTTTTTTTTTGATCTCTCCCCTGTGCTTCCGCGTGCGTCACTTCTGAGCGGCGCATGCGCAAAGCCGACCTCCATACTTCATCCACCCAGAACTGCTTCCGTTTACAACAGTGAGCACAAGCTACATTCAAGTGATTATTACGTTTTGAATATGGATATTTTTCTTACAAAAACGCATCGATTCGCTATAGGAGGCCTTTGTTCACCCCATGGAGCCGTGTGAGACACGTGTTTTTTTTTGTTGTTTTTTTTTTATATATGGATGGGTGCTTTTTATTTAACTTCTTTTGGACTGAAGCACTGCAACACCCGCTGAGTGGCATTAAACAGCTTGAAAGATCAAAGACAATTTTTTATATAACTTCGACTGGATTCGTCTGAAAGAAGAAAGTCATATACACCTAGGATGACTTGAGGGTGAGTAATTTATGGGCAAATTTTCATTTTTGGGTGAACTAACCCTTTAATACGCTGCTGAAACTCTACAGAGGACGTCCTCTCGGGGGGTGCTCTGGGTCACGGTGGAGGTCACAGGAAGCTCATGGCTCTCGCCCAAGGTAGGGGTTTAGCAGCTCTGCTGTGACTCCTCACGGTTCTAGTGAAGAAGTGAGCATGTGCTCCAGAACTGGGACGTGGATGTGAGTGAAGCGTCTCTTGGGGATTTTTGGAAATCTGACGTCAGAAGTTTCTTGTAACTTTTTAAGGAGTTTGTAGTGTGAAGATCTTTAGTTTTCGCTTAACATTACAAAGTTCTGACAGGGGTCTTCGTTATTTGATAGTTATTTCATTTTGTTTTATTTGTGCTTTTGGCGACATAAACAGAATTATTATTATTATTATTATTATTATTGCTTAGTGTTAGACTTGTTGTGGTCTGTAGTCTTTTGGATTGTAGATTTTGAGATACAGTTGGGCATTTTTTAAAGGGATAAGCTGTTTTAAATTAATATTTTTTTAACAATAATTTGGGGCAGTTTTTCAATTCCATAAAAATCATCAATATAATATATTTGACAATTATTTTATTACTTTTATTCCTCAATATGACACAAATAATTATTTGACTACATACATTTTTATTATTATTATTATTAAACATTTTATACGTTTTTGATACATAAACAGATTAAGAAAAACTTTAATATAATGACAAACACAATAACAATGATAATTATATTTATGCATTTTACTTAAACATTTGATAAATAAAATTATTATTATTATGATTATTATTTAATAATTATACTGTTTAAATGTTTTATTTATACATTGTGCTTATTTTATTTATGCATTTTACATGTACATTTTGATAAATTAACTGAATTAATATTATGTTTATTTAATAATTATAATGTTTAAACATTTTATGTATACATTTTTGATAAACAGATTAAGAAAAACTTGTATAATGACAAACATAATAACAATAATTATATTTATGCATTTTAATTATACATTTTCTTGCATGAACTGAATAATAAAAATAATAATAATAAAATGTATGCCATTATATTTTTATTATAATCATTAATTATTATGTTTATTTTTATTATAATTAATAATGCTTATCATACTTAGGCATTTTATTTCTAATTTTTTTTTACATGTACAGTTGTTATTATTTAACAATAATGATACATGAATATTATTATTAATGATATTAACAATTCTACGTATTCAAAAAAGTGAAAAATATAAACTTTAGTAAAAAGTGAATAATTAATCTAACCATTTCATTAAGTTACTTTTCCTTTTTGAACACAGTAATTTAAAGGTGTTATGGTGATTCATTTATTATTATTGTTTCTGAAGTTATTATTTTTGACCTGTAGATTCAGACCGTGGCTCTGTGTTCCACACTGGACTCTCTGGCTGTCATGAAAGCGACTGCTAGCTAATGCTTGTGGTTTTGGGAAAGTTTGACACAAAGCCTGTTGTTCAGCAGCGTTCCTTTCTATGAAAGCTGCTTTTTATCTCCCACATTTTGCTGTGATGAGAGTCATTATGACATGGCATATGATTCAGAGTGTTTCGCTTGTGGTCGTGTTGGTCAGTGCTATATATGCATAATGCAGTCATGTTTATTTGAATGAAACAAATCTCATGAAATGTAGCTGAAATGAATACATTGTTTTTGTATGAAGTTTCTTTTTTTTTTTTTTTCTTTTTTTTTTTTTTTTTACTACTGATACTGAATATTTAAAACAGACATTTATTTAAAATCTTGCTTTTTGACACAATATGACATTATTTTATTTGTTGTTCTTAGCACACCAGCATCATCTGGACTTTGAATACATTAACTTGCAGGAATGTGTGTGATTGATTCACTGTGCCGCCCCCTCTTTGCTTACGCTGGACAGAATCAGCTGTTGTTGCGAGCTCGGCCGGAGACCACTGCTGTGACTCTCGCAGGGAAATGTGTGCAACAGGTTGGAGGTTCTCAGGCAGCAGCTAATCAGTTTTGTCATGTGCCCAGGACCCGCTCTCCTGATGGCGACGGTGGACATCAAGAACCCCGAGATAAACAACAAACTTAATGTGTCCCACATGAATAACATGGTGCACAGTGGCCTTAACAAGAAGGAGAAGAAGGTCAAGGGCAAGAGGAAGAAGTTGACGAAGGCTGACATTGGGACACCAAGCAACTTCCAGTGAGTCTTTTAAGTATAGCAGATTCAGTACTTCCTGTGTTGGCAGGAAGTGACATCAGTAATGCATATTAAAATGCTGTCATGCTGCTTCTGGGTTTTTATTTTTATTTTCTGTCCGTATGCTCGAAAACAGTCACTAACTTTAAATTTGTAGTTTTGTTTATATGTTATGCTTTTCCACAAAAAAAAAATGCTAGTTAATGTTAACAAATTGGATGAAAACGTATTAAGTTTTCTCACACACGATATAACAGCCTACCAAAAAACTTTATTTAAAAAAAAGATTTTTTCCCCCGCCTTGTTGTAGTTGGGGTGTTCCCAGTCAAAAATGACCGGCCTACAATTGCTTAGAAATTTCTTGTTCTGCAATTTTATTACCAAATATAGAATCATATCTTTATCAACTTATCTTTAAAAAATATTTTTTAGGTCTAACTTATCTGAAAATAAATTATTTATCTGTTTTCTATAGACTTGATGCTATTTTTAGTTTCATCAACAGTATACCCATATTGTGCCTTTAAAGAAATGTAAGCCTAAAGTGTGAAAATCCTCAGTAACTTATCTTCAATTAAATTATTAACTTAAATTATTATAAAAAAAAAAAAAAACGTATTTAAATACTTATTCGTTTAATGTGCTAAATCAGTTTTTATAACACTTTTATACCTTGAAAGAAATGTAATATTAAAGTTTAAAAATCCACATTAAATTACACTTGAAAATGTTATTTAAATATATATATATATATATATATATATATATATATATATATATACAAT